CCCGTCTCACGTGTACCCCCACAGTTTTTTGTTGTCATCTCCCCCACAATAGGAGCGGTAAGTTTCCCTGAGCCTTCCGCTCTCTGATGTGCCACTCACTTGACGTTTGTAGACCAATTTTTTGGGAACCCACCGTGTGCTCGGAACGCTGTAATTACAACCGTTCCTCTCCATGTTGTCCCTTTCTGACATTCGAGTAGCTCTGGCGCCACTACAGCGGCATCAGTCTGGTCAGCCTTCCCAGAGAATCCATACGTTCTGTCCATCTTTGGCTTCTTTTTCTCCATGCCATGCTTTTACTACATTGTCGCAAAACCCCAATATGCCACCTCCGCTCGGTTCGTACTGCTCACGTACAACCTTACCTGCCTTTACTGGTGAGTCCTCCCGTTGATTCTTTTTGCTCGCATGATGATGACCACCGCTTCTGCGCAGCTACAACCTCCGACAGGAAGACGTCTCTATAGTAGAAATTGCCTCGCATCGGTTTACTGCCGTTACAGTTGGTGTCGTATGGGCCGCCATCGTATCTCGATATTGGTGGCCAACCGAGGCGAGAAGGGAGCTTAGCAAGGGTCTTGGCGAGTGAGTAACCTGTCTCTCAGCTTAATGACAATCTCACTAAGGTCGTGCGCTTGTCAGGTTCTGCCTCAATGTCGGATGGCTGTACACGCGTTTAGTGGCTTTCAATTCGTTCGATAGCGAAACTGGTTTCCCTCACCTAGAATCATCAACGCCCCCGAATGAGACTACGTCCCTCCTTGCCGCGTCAACCAACTCCCAGCTCAATGAGAGTATCGTGGAGTTCATGGCGATGTCAGTAATTCTCCCAGTCCATGCCATGACATGTTACTAAACTCGTAACGTAGGGAACTGCACTTGCAGATCAAGCTCATTGAGCTGCAAGGTCTTCTTGCACAAACACAGCACGAGCCACGCTTGAAGGGACCGTTTCCGATCGCTCTGTACCGCTCGATATTGACCAGCCTTCAAACTATCCTCGATAAGCTGCACAGCATGAGATGTGTCACCTCTCGGGAAGAATGGTGAGTTCTGTAGGGTTATCTTATCCTCTACGCTGGCTGACCTCCTGCAGGCATACTGTGAGTGGTCCGTGAATGCCTCGCGTCTCTACGTTCCTAACATCCACTGCAGGAGGTACGAAAGGACTTCATCATCCCCGTCAATAAGGAACGTCGTGATATGGTTGGCAACATTATTCTGTACTTTTATGTACTGGCCTCTGCATTCCGGCTGAAGTCACCATTGCCACCGTACCTTCCTCCTGCTGAGGTATCCAGACAGCGGCTGGTGAGTCACCCGACTTTGGTGCTAAATCATCGCTGAACCCACTCATCTTCTGCAGGTCGAAGCCATCCGCCAACTCGACGTTATCAGGAACCGGGATATCCGTGGTTCGCGTCAGCTCCTGTTCTTTGCATACGCCCTAACCATGCAGGGCATTACGCACGAGTTGGACTATCTGGGAGGCGTGTTGCAGGACGCCTTTGGGGTCATCGGTGGTAGCACCGAGGCATTTGACTCGTTCTTCAGAGATAGATCGCAGCAGGTCGTTTAGATTATACACGCTCGTTCCCTGCACTCACTTGTATCATTTCTCGGTGATATTTATTGTCCAACGTTACTCACGCAGTCCTTGTACTGTTGTACATCGTCAATTACCCCATCGTCAGTCAACGTGACGCGTGCGGGGTCACCATTGAGAGGGAAGCTCAACTGACGCATCGGTGGTGCCAGCCATTTGACACATGCAATTGTGTACCACTCAACTGCAGCTGTAGTCAACCGAGGCTGTCACTGTGGCGTCGCTGTGGCGAGGGGAAAAGCTGAAATTTCGAGCGTCGGAACATTCGGTCCGAGGTCCGACTTCAGCTCAACCATCTCACCACTTTGCTGAGAAACACTTTTGACACTTTCCTCATTGCCAATCACAGCATCGAAAAAATAACATGTCTAGGGGAAAGGTTGAATATATTCTCTTCGACATGGATGGTAAGCCTTCACAATCACCACACCGATCCCTCCATTGAAGCCCATTTTATTCTACAGGTCTGCTGATCGACTCCGAGAAAGTGTACACCGAGGTGACAAGTACTTCGCATCCTCGATCCTCTGAGTGAACATAAAGTCCTCATCGTGATGGTCATACGTGTCACTTTACACAGATAATCTTCTGGCGGAGCATGGCAAGGAGATGACTTGGGACATCAAAGCCGGTCTCATGGGCAAACGTACGTGCTATGGCAACTACTCAATCTCAAGCTGCTGAACTATGTATTTCGACGCAGCCGAACGAGAAGCAGCCGCACACCTTCTCTCATTTTTCCCTGACCTCCCCGCTCACTTCACCATTGATCACTACCTCGAAGCGCGTCGACAAGGACAAGACCTGCTCTGGCCTACCGTCCGTCCGCTCCCAGGTGCCCTCAAGCTCGTGTCCCATCTGCACAGACACAAAGTCCCGATCGCCGTCGCCACCGGCTCACAACGGCGAAACTACGAACAGAAGAGTAGCCATTTGATGGACGCGCTGTTTGGGATGTTCGAGGGAAAGGTGGTGTGTGCGGACGATGGGCTGATTGGGAAGGGGAGGGGGAAGCCGAACCCGGATATTTTCCTTGTTACGGCGAGGGAGATGTTGGGAAGGGACGTTGGAGAAGGGGATGATATTGAGGCGAAGGTCACGGATGCTCAGAGGAAGGAGCGGAGGAAAGGTTTGGTGTTTGAGGATGCTATTCCTGGAGTACAAGCTGGAAAGCGAGCAGGAATGAACGGTGCGCAGCCATTGGTTCTTCTTTCATTTCAAATGCTGAATGGTGATGTCTCGAAGTTGTATGGGTTCCGGATGACAACCTTCTCAAGATGAATGACTCCGGGAAGTGACTCACGACCTTAGAACAGCCCGACCAGACGTTGAAGTCACTGGAGGACTTCATCCCCGAGGAATGGGGTTTGCCACCGTACGATGTAGAGAAGGATGTAGATTAGACCCGTGGAATGGCTGAATGATAGTGGAAGACATGTACATGCGTTGTATCATTATGATGACTGCAGTACGGTATGCTAGAGTCCATGTATATAAACCGTAATCAGTCCTGAACCTGCTCCGAAGTCTCCAAGAGTGAAGGCGAAATGTCGGGACTACCTCACAACCAGCCATAGTGCTTCCACAGCGAGGTTGGCTTGCCATATGCCTAGCCTCCGGATGAGTCTCAGAACTGCTGGTGCTGGAATAATCAACGCAAAACCAAGGGGGACAAGAATGATAGTGGTCAGGAAGAGGAATATTGTGACGCCTGGTTTGATGACGAGGAAATAAAACAGAGACTGGTATGACGTAGAGTCGGTGAACTGCATAAATTGTCAGCACCGCGCATGCGAAAGAAACGAGCGAGAAGCGTACCATGGCGTACGCATTGCGATAGAACGACCGCTCGTATACGATGTCCACCCCGGTTTCCGCTTCCTCGGCTGTTGGGGCACGCACACGGGTGAAGATTGGATGAGGAGGATAGGGAGCAGGATATGCCAGAGGCCCATGGTATGTTGTTTGTATTGACAACTACGAGGTTTCGTGAGATGGAGTGAACGTGCGGTACGGATGTAACTCACCTCTCCTCGGGCAAACGCGCGAGCACCAAGAAGATCAAGAAAACAAAGCATTGCTCCGACAGGAAGAGCCATTAATGTCGTTGTGCCCGACTGATATTACTGATCAGAACAGACACGCGCGGAGCGGAATGGGGGCACGCACCAGAGTGAAAACAAACAAGTAAACCCAGGCAGCCAACGCATACGGAAAGTTTACGATCAGTAGATGGAACAGTGCCGAGTAGTACGCCCGCCTGAACACTGGTCGGAGATACTTGTGTAGCCAGGGCTTTCTCCGGACGGGCCTGGAATGCTCCGAGAGCAGAGGTGCCTGGTCGTCCTCCTCGATGTCAATTTCATAGATAAGCCGTTCCTGCTCGTCTTCCGCGGGAGGGGGCGGCAGACGCGAGTCCTCCAAGCAGTCGGAGTCAAGGTCGTCGTCCAAGTCGGGATGAAATGCAGACATTACAGTCTGTGCGAATGAAGGTGCAGCAGATACAACCGAGTGGAGAGTGCTCGTCATTGACAATGTCCGCGGACGCCTGCCAACTGCTGCACCACCACCAGCCGTGTGCTGCATCCGAGGCGAGTGTGGCGGGGCGACAGGCGACGTTGGGACCTGCAGCAAGTCCGAAGAGCTTGCTCCTACTCCGCTCGGTCCGTCGTACTCGTTTCCAGACTCGTACCCTCCTGCACTCGGAACCCGCTCATAACCGGCTGCGGAGTATTCTTCGTCCTCAGCTGCTGCAGATGGCACTCGCGAATGCGCATGGTCTTCACCATGTGGTGCGCCTCTTCTCCGCCGCCGCTGGCCTCCAGGCCGGCCACTGCGGCGGTCTCGCGATGGAGTTGGGTAGGGTGGAGGCGGGTCGCTTGGCGCAGTCGTGGAGAGGATGATTTCGGGGGTCGCGTTCGTCGGTGGCCGCTGACCTTCTGTCATGGCGTTTTGCTGTTCGTCGTCGTCGCAGTCGACGTCAAGGAGACTGTCCCATTAGCATTTGGTTGCGGAATGATAAGTACTGCGCCTAGCCAAGATGGGCCAATCCAGGGCATTCTCCTCGCTTCTTCCCTACACATTGCTTCAAAAACCTTCACTGTCACATGACACCATAGCCAAGTGGTTACGGCGACAGATTCGAGCTTTTTTTACCGTCGCACTCACCACTTGCTTGCTCTTTTTACCGTCGCACTCACCACTGCTTCGATTCTTGCTTCGGAAAACGTCACCAACGTCGCAGTTCCTCTCGCTGAGCCATGGACGTCTCGCAAAAATAAAAACACCAGCAGGGTTCGAACCTGCGCTCAACAGATGGTCCACGTGATTAGCTTTTTTTTTTTACCACGTGCTTCGGAAAACGTCGCTGAGCCATGCAAAATAAAAACACACTCGACACCAGCAGGGTTCGAACCTGCGCGGGGAAACCCCAACAGATGGTCCACGTGATTCGAATCTGTCGCCTTAGACCACTTGGCTATGGTGTCATATGGGGTGCCATTCTCATCGCACGTTGACTCTCCTCTCATCGCACACCGACCCTTCCTCCTCCCCCTCCCCCTCCCCCCCTCCTCCCTCTTCCACTCCTCCCTCTTCTCCCCCCCCCTCACCATCACTCCCCTCCCCCCCCCTCCTCACCCCCCCCCTGTCGCGAGCCAAGTACGCTCTTCTAATACGCTGTCCGTTCCATTCGCTAATAACACCGATCTAGCGGTCATTGCATGCGCATACACCCATCCTGCTTGTTAGCCAACTGACTATATGCGCGGCCATGGACCCACTCAAGGCACTAAAGTCGTCCTTCACCAACATAAAGACCAAAGCCAGGCAGTCTGCCAGCGACAGACTCGCCGCCTTTCGCGCGTCCGCTGACAAGGACAAGCTGTCCCTCTACGCCGAGGTCAAAGAGGTGCACGACATCAAACGTCTCGCACCCCCCACCGTGCGTAGGCACGAGCTCGTCAAGCGACGCTACCGCATATTCGTTGCCGACGACAACGAACAGAACGGAGAAAACCTCCCGATCGAGATCGAGCCTCCAGCCACGTTCCCCACAATCGGTAAACACGTTACACCCCCCTTCGCTCTCACCCCAACTCACATCGTCTCCCTCAGCCCAATGCAAACGGTTCATCGTCTTCCTCGCCGTCACCACCAAAGGCAAAAGACTCTTCGTCGAGGATGGCTCAGACGAGTTGTTGTGTCGCACCACGATGACCAACTATCTCTACAGCTTCTTTGCCCTTTGGAGCATACATGCCAACGTGGTCGTCCCAAAAGAAACTCGCAACCAGCTGCTCGCCTTCATCGGCAGTGAGCGCTTTCTCTCCCAGTTTGCCTTGCGCACAAAATCCAAACCCAAAGCCAACGCCGACCACGTCGACGTTGATATTCTCCTCGCCCAGCTTCTCAATCCTTCCTCCGACAATCACTTCTCTGCCAACCACTCTCGCTTCGTCGTCCACTACGCCATCGCCCTCTCTGCACTCAGCGCAGAACGTCCCGGCGCCGTCGTCGAAAGTGGCGCCTACCGCAAGTCAAACGAGTCGATAAAGTACTCGGAACATCAAGTTCACATCGTCCCCAATCAAGACCCCACGCTGCCCCCGTACGTCTGTCTCGTCGTCACCTTCAACCTCCTCAAAAACGGCCGAACCAACGACAGCAAATTCAAATCCATCATCATCCGTCCAGACTTGGAGTCGCCCTCTTCCTGCGCACTCATGTCCTTCCTCACCTTGGCCTTCCTCGATAACGCCTTCGCCGACGTCTCTACCCCGGAGGAGATTTTTGACCCCAAGATTAGACCCGTCCGGGGTCACATCCTTCAGTGGAAACCAGAAATGATGGCCGTCAACGTCCTTCGCACAGAAGAACTCGTCAAGAAATCTTGGAAGGTCTCCGACACTCAGGCGCTTCCCTACAGCACTTACATTCGTCATCTTACCTACCTTAGCTTGAAGGCCGGCTTCGTTCGTACGTCGTCGCATCTCAACCTCCCCGTATCCTAACCTTCACGCATCCCCAGGAATGGTGAAACCGTACGACACCCGCAGGGCTATGGGCGAGGCCGTCAACGAGGCAAAGAAGGACAGTCAAAGGAGACAAGTGATGGCGCATGACCCCAACTCCGAAATGTGGGAGGTAACTCTTCTCCCCCTGTCTCAAAAATGCTGTCATCCCTCATTCTCTCCTATGCCCTACTAGTCCTACGTATCCAAACTCGTCAAGTTTGACTTCCAAAGTCTCTTCCGCAGACGGGAAGAGGATGGCCAGTGGACTGCCGTCTTCGCCGTATGTGTTCCTCTTTTGCCTAGACCTTGATGCGAATAATCCCCTATGTAGAATCTCGCCAGGGTTTCGTTCAGAGCGGATGCGTCTGCTCCCGACGAGCTCCCTTTCGACGCCCGCCAGGAGCTCCACTCGGCTGAGGAATTGGTAGAGTTACGCGCTTTGGTCGCAGAGGTCAGCCTTCTTTCTTTCTCCACATTTGCACCCCCCCCCCCCTCTCATCCCTTCCCTCCTCAGAAACAAGCACAGTTGGTCGCTCACAATGCACGTGCACCTTCTTCCGACGACAATCCTCTCTTCTCGGAGTGGAAATCTCAGCAGGCACGCCTTATTCAAGACATCGCCCTCTTGGAGAGGTCTCACCGTGATATTTTTGCCCGCGAATCTCATTATCGTACCGAGGTTGAACGCGCATTGTACTTCCGTGAGGGTTCCAGGCGCACACTCCTTGGCGAAGTCGCCGCTCCCCAAAAGGTCACTTTTCCTTTCATCCTGCTCCCTCTTCGCGCTTCTCAACTTCCTCCCTTTGAAACAGCTTCGTAGCCACATTATCGTCCCAGAGGTGCCTCCTGTGCACGATAATGTCGAAGTGCCCTCCCTCGGCGAACCTCTTGACCGCCTCAGCGCCGACAACAACAAGGACGACTTGGCCATGACAGGTAACAACGAAGACGACGGGTCCTTTCCACTGGGGTTCATCTACGACACCCTCGATGATATGAACCGCCCCATGGACGATCTCCGAGCCGCCTTCTTCAACCCGCCTACAACCGTTCCCTATCCGAATGCCATCATTGTTAACACGATCAACGCGGCCCTTCGTCTTCCCCGCAACCCAGCCCCGCCCTGCTTTCCTGGAGAGCCGCCGACACTTCAAGGCAAGTGTCCAGTATGCCGCATCGATGTTATCACAGACAGGCAAGTTCTCTTCCGTGTAGTCAGCCGCCTACTGATATCAAGTGTCACCAGGAGCGCCGTCGGCAACCGTGGCGCCGGCAACCACATCCATTCCTGCATCTCGAAAGAGTGCGCGAGGGTAGCATTGGTCATTGCTGAGAGCGACTACGTACCCCAAAAATGTCGTATGGTGGGCTGCAAGAAGAGGTCTGAGGATTACAAGACCAGGGCGGACTTCACAGCCCACATTCGCGTCCACATCCAAGCTCTCTCCAGTACTGTCAGGAAGGACTCAGTTTGTCGCTGGGAGGTGGGTTCTACCGGCAGTGGTATTATCTGCGGTCAGGACGGCGAGGACGACTGGTATGCTCATTTCGCCCGGGTGCACGAGTTCAACCCCCGCGCGACGCTGACAATCCACTACTGCCTTCATTGCGGCAAGAGGTGCGTGCCCTCCCCCCCCCTCTTTTTGTTTTAGCGATTCACTCTCAAACAGGTTCGTGGATTGGTCGGGCCACGACGACGCTTGGGAGATCCATTGTGAGCGCCACTACATCGCGCTGTTTCAGCAGTGGGAGCAACGCGACTCGCAGTCGTTGATGAAGAGTACAACGGGTCCAGTCATCGCACACACCAATACCGTCGAGTACAAGTCCGGATCTGGTTTCGATGGAGAAATGCCCGAGTTCCATGGTCACGTTGAGAGTATGATCGCCATTCACCCGATGTATTGTCCTTTCTGCGTCTATGATGAATCCAAACCGTGGAAGAGTCGAATGACACAGTATGTAGTTTTTTGACAACACCTTTCCCTCGTGACTAATTTCCCCCAGGTTTACCATTGCAGACTCCTTTGTACGCCATTTGAGGGACGAACACCGCAAAGACATCGGCAGTCAACTTTGCCCTGTCCCAGCATGCGGACCCACAACGCTTACCTTTGAGGAACTCATGACTCACCTCATCACCGTGCACCGCCTACCCATGTATGGTTACTGCAGAGCCTCTTCCGTTGAACGGCTCAAGCTCCCACCGACAACAACGGATATCCCTTCAACGAAAGGACCGACATTGGAGGAGTTGCGGGTCGCCAAGAGGCGCCAGCGTAAAGCTAATGTTGACCACATCTCCTTATTGTCTTCGTGCCAATCCTTATATCCCCCCCACAGAAGGTCAAGGGTTGGTGCTATGGATGTTACAGGCCCCTTCAAGACATCTTCGATCACCTGGCGAAGAAGTCACCTGATTCAAAATGCGGCAAACAAGCATGCTACTCTCTCTTCGACTCTGATGATAAACGTATTGAGGACAAGCTGACCTACACCAAGGTCAATAGATCCATCTCTGCAATGCATTCCTCTCACTTGCGTACCTTCACAGGAGTTCAATGACCGTCCTGCAACTAAGAAGTCTCGATCAGAAAACCACCATTTCTGCATGGTCTGTGAACAATATTACTCGGACATTCGTTTGCATGTCGAATTCGACAGCTGTCCCTGCCGCACATTCAAGATTCGGGATCCCGAAACAAAAAGTATGTCCGGAGTGCTGAACGTTCGCGCGTGGCTTCAAAATCAGTCGGCGATGGCGGGATCTTCTGATGTGGCTGAATCTTCTGGCGCGGCTGGACCATCTGGCGAGGCTGGTCTCTAGAAGGGTCTCGCTCTTTCGGTCAACATGGAATTCTCTCTCGGCTCTTACTTGTCCTCTGCCCTGTTCTCGGCTACTCTCGTCTCTGTTGCTCGTCCGACCGACATTCTGTGCATTGCTCATGGGTCAACTCCTCTGCCCTGTTCTCGGTTATTCTTGTCTCTGTTGCTCATCCAACTGACATTTTGTGCATCGCTCATGCATCACTCTCGCATTGACCTCTCTGACCTCGTTGCAGTACTGTTTCCATTGTACCAGTCTCGTCCGCATTCCTGTGTTCTAAAGTACAAAGAATCAAACCCGATTACGTAATCATCTGCTGATGTAATCATCGAAATCATCTGTTGGGGTTCCCCCGCGCAGGTTCGAATCCTGCTGGTGTCGTTTTTCTATTTTTTTTAACCTTGCCAGTTGGTACTTGAATCATAGTCTCGATGTGCTGGATCGTTCACCACACAACGCGTACACAGGCTGGCATGGGATTTTGCCCTTTAGACCAAGGGTCATCGATGCCAGTGGCAGGTGCATATGGATCTAATCTAATCTCGCCACAACATGGACGACCCGGCAAACTCATTTATTCTCCTTCACCACTACCTGTGTGGACATCAAAACCTTTGTCTATGACAGAAGTTCAGCTAACCTACCC